TTTCTTTTTTGAGAATCCAGATTAAATTTTTACAATGGTTACAATCTAAAATAGGGATTAGGTGCAAACATTTACTCTTTTTGAGTTCGTCTAAATTAGTTGGGTTACAAAGTTTACATTTAGCTATTTCAATATTATGTTGACACTAGCAGTTGACACTGAATTTATATTTAAGGTAAGAACCTAATTTTAATTGCATATTAAGTTTTTTGAAGGGTGTAGGTTTTTCTATTCCTGGTTTTTCAATTGAGGTCTTATTTTCTCCAGAAACAGAAGGTTCCTGTTTATTGAACAGTTCTGGGTGTTTTTCGGTTAGAAATTTAAAGACAGAGGGTTCAATTTTCTTAACGACTTCTAACATGTCATAGTTTTTATAAACATGCACTATACACGGTGAAAATTCCTTGTCTATATCACGTTTAACTGTGATTAAACTGTAACAATGTTCGCAAGAAAAGGGACTTGTCGAATGTTGACAGTCCAACCCCGGTATCCCTTCTTTGCTCATTTGATCTTTGCAAGAATTACAATTATTCAAGTCTTTCTTGTGAAGACACAAAAGGCCTTCTTCTAAAACAATCTCAGTATGTTTCGACTGTCCTATCTTATCCGGGCTTGTCTCCATTTCTTCAGTTTTCTCTATAAATAACTGCGGGTGATTTTCTATCAAGAGATTATAAAAGGAGGGCGAAAAATTGTTAAAAATTTCCAGCAATTTTCTTCTTTTAACGTTATCTTTACAAGTATGCACCAAGAAAGATAAATTAACGTCATTTTCAGCAACAATAAGAAGATTATAACAGAGTTCACAAATTATGGCTTTCGCTGAGTGTTGACAAATCAGATTCCGTATCCCTTTTTCTTCCATTGTATCTTGGCAAAGGTTACAGTTGCTTACGTCTTTCATGTGAATACAGATAAGGTCTTTAAAAGTCCAGTTGATGTCAGATTGTAATTCCGGATTTGCCAATGTCTTTGGTTCCATGATGGAAAACGTAAACAAACAGTCGAGCGTTCACCAAGTTAGTAAAAAGGCCACAGAAGAGTTTAGAGCTCAGTGCTACTGGTAAAGTTCTCATCAATTGGAGGAGTTGCCATAATTACGTTACAATTCACGTAAAACTGCTACTATATCAGGCAATCACTCCAGGACGGGCATCTAATATCGTTAAAAACGTAAGATATCTTGCCCGTAGCACAAAATCTTGCGAAAGTCAAATTATGATGTCGATCTGGAGAACAAGATCTTTCGATTGATCTAAAAACCAACACTTAAAACAACTTTTGACACCACAAGAAAATAAAGGTCTGTAGAGTGAGCAACTGTTGAACTTCAAGCTTCTACGGTTACAAACGAAGTCCCTTATAACTTTAGTAAAACTCGTGGAATTTAATTTAAGTAATAAAGAACCATGCCACACAATACAACCATGTTTACTATATTAACCATTCAGTTACAGCCTTTGCTGGTGTCCGTAAAATAAAATTATCTAATCTTAAAGGAATTTCGTTGTCGATGTTTTTCCTTTTTACAGTCAGAAATAAATAATTTTCATGTAATTATTCGATGAATAATGTGTTTTTTAAACACTGATTTATTGCTTCGTAAATACAGTAAGACATCAATTTGTCGGATAGCTATTTAAAGGATCAATCTTCTGGTTGCTTGAAGGGCTTCAAGCTAATGGACTCCGTATCAATCTATCAGTCCTGTGAAATCTGATTAGTTGAGGCCTTACTGTATTAAATTTGGCGTAGGTAAAGCTTATGAATTTATTACACTAGGGTAAGAATGCGGGAGAGATAGGGGGGACTAATATTGGTGGTGTAATCAAAAAACAATATCTTAATTTATCAAAATCTGGTAGTTCATGAGGAAAAGCAAGGTGATTTTCGAAGTCAGCACCCATAATACAGAGTATGGCTCACTTATAGCATGTCTGAGAATTTTCCTTGCGTCCTCTGCTGGGAAAGTTCCTTTGGTTAGATGGCTTTATTTTTTGCCTATATACATCCATTTAAAACTTTCTCATCATGTCATGGGATGTAATCTAAGTTCAGAATCTTTACATCATGAGGGTAAAGTGCAAAAGCGAACATCAAATAACACAGGTTGTCAGTCAGTTTTTTTTTGGCACTTTTTCTACTCTTCGCGTGGTTTACTTCATGTGGTATAAAATTTTGGATCCGCTTTTGAGAGTTCAGAGGTTCCTATTTATAATTGTTTCTCCTTTTTTAAGGAAAGTATACAAATAGACTTGAATGAAACAATTGGTAATATCTTTCATCATTTCTCGGAATAATATTGGCAGATTTGGTGATGAGAAAGTGTGTCACTGCACCAGAGTGATTCAGGGGGCATCTTTTTCTCCTGCCAACAAGATGAAGTGATTCTCTTGAAGGCTCTCTGAGCACCTTTTCTGCCACAGGAGTATTACACAGTATCAGACGAAAAGAAAGGCGCACAAAGGTATGCAGATTGACTTGTATCGTTTACCATTATGTAGAGTCGACCTGATCCTACGATTTGCGGCTCCTGTTCGATCAATTTTTATGGAACTTGGTGTCTGGAGGTATGTAAGGACAAGAAGCATAAATTTCAACTATTTTCGAAAATCCAACAGTGGGTGTAGCCTAAAATGCTGTCTTGACGCATTCAAAATGATTCAACTTTGCAATCGTATGATATAACCAGTAGGTATATGGAGGAATTATCTAAGTTTAAAATTCCATTTGCTTGCAAGTGGTGGAGCAAATTTTTGTTTCGCAAAGTGATTTTATTCAAATCAAGCAGCAACACCCAACACAAGCGTTATGCACTGATTGTCGAGTTATGTAAGAATTAAAGAGTCAACACCTCGATTATTTAAAAGAAACTTGGACAATTTTTTAGTTTCGAAACGCTTAACTCTTCTTACTTTAAATAGAAATGGAAATTCCTGAACTCAGCTTCTGAACATATTAAGAACTGTATGAGAATTATATTTCAAATTTTGCCGCCTCGAAACGTGTGATGTAGGTGTTGTGGACGGAGGGGGGAGGAGAAGGAAGTCATAACAAAAACATAACCTACGATTCATAGGTAAACAAACATGTATTTCAAGCATGGTGATTCTTAGTAGTGATAGTGTTCTGTTAATTTGGTACTTTCTCATGGAGTGGGAAAATATGTTTTTCCACGAGTTAATATCGTCGCTTAAAAGAAAGGCGATGTCTCTTACAAAGTTTTTTGAGAAGACACCCCCAGACATTCAGGAAGCTGGCAATTGTTGTTTCAGAATCAAGCACGGATACAGCGGGTAAGTTGTCAAATCAGAATGTAACTCATTTTTTAGTGTAGCTTTAATGAAAACGGACGGTTGGAGAGATTAGGGCAGAAAGAATCAGGAAGTTTCCATTGCCTTTAGAAAGAAATAGGGGGGCTGTGATTGAACCTAGGTATGAAGAATTTTCCTGAGAATATTTCTTTGCTCTCTGCATCTCTACGAGGAAAATTTCCTCTGTAAGTTTCTTGATAATTCAAACAGAGAGTCGTAGGGGGAAAGCTCCAATTCAGTATTACAGTTTTTAGATGGGACGGAATGCTGCTGACGAAGGAGATTTAGCTGAAAGGCGACCATAGTCTTCTCAGAGGTGAAGTGAAATATTCTCTCTTTGAAAATGGGAAAAATTATTTACTGATGAGCAGGGTTTTCAGAATGGAGTACACTGAAAGATGTTATCTAAATGCAGACAGCACACTGTCATATGTGCAGGAATCCAAAGTAGGGTGTCGTTTAAGGAGATGCGTGAAGTACATACCTTGGTGAGAAACCAAAGCATGGGACCACAGACATAGACGGATTGCAAGCTTTTCTTTCAGAATTTAAAGTTTAACATAAATTTAATTGCATCTGCAAAACAGAGCTAAGAGGAAAAAATTGTCGGACAGAATTAGTAAAACAGAGTAATTATCTTAAAACTGTACAAAAATACAAAGATAATTACTGATGATTGGTTTCAATGACTATCTACGTACTACAGTCTCTCCTACTGGAACTCTTAATGTAATAAATTTATTCTCTCATGCAGAAAGTAGAAGGACCTATAGAAGAGAAGAATGTTTTTTCTGAGAAACATCAGTAATTGGGGTGCTCCACAAATCATTTTACAGTGTCTGCCAAGTTCCATATTTCAACTCATAACACTGCAGTAATTTAAGTGTTGATCAAACAAGATGGTAACACTGAGGCTACTGTATTATCCAAATCATAAAAGTAAACAAAGACGAATCGGTCAAATTAGAAAGACGGTGGAAAGTGAAATAAGTAGACTTCCTTAGAAGTAACAGCACTAAAGTACACGCTAGATTAAGTATCATGTATGATCAGATTACAGAAAAGGAAAGGTAGGTAATCTGATCAAGGAAAGTGCCATTCATACCAGAGAATTGATGTACATAATGATTTGAAACATTATTAAGAAACCATATTAGAAAAATTCCCGGCTTTGCAAAGAATTCAGGATTTGCCATGATAAAAAGCAATTACTCTTGTGTGTTCCAACTATTAGGGTCC